TGGACGAGGCATTCCTGCAGCGCTTGGCGACTCTGAATCCCGTGGCAACCACGTTGCTGTGGGAACAGATGGCGGAGGCTATCTTCACGGAACTCGTGGGCATGCCGCCGCACCACAAACGGAGGAAGTCGCAGCTCATCGACGAGAACATCCCCCACCGTGGCATCTTCGGAACCCCATGGGCCTGGCATTTCGTGACCGAAACAAACGGCCGCAAGTCCTTCCACTTCCACGCCGGTGTCATCGCAGGGGCCTCTCCTACATTGTTGGCCGACGTGGCTGGGTACCCACGCTTGGAGGCCGCTGTGCACTCAGCCCTGGGCTCGATGTATACGGCCCACGTGCCAGCCGACTTGCACGCCATCGACGTGGCCCGCCGGACGTTGCGTATACCAGCGGAGCGTCAGACTTTCTTCCAGACCACCGACACGCCCACCCCAGAAGCCGTCCGAGAGTTTCACATAGATGCCGCCATCACAGCTCTTACCACTGGACTACATACACACGCGGCCACCTGCCACAAAGGCAAAAATGGCAAGCTCGGGTGCCGCATGGCGAAACCCTCTGGACACCCCGTCCCCCAGTCTCGCGTCCTCGCAATCCTGCCCGACGAACCCGCGCAGGGCACCGTGGACTGGTCTTGCAAGTACTGCACCCCGGGATACGACCCGAAACAACGACCAGCGACTGCACTTTGGGCTCGCGGGCCTCGCCCTGGTGATGGGGCTGCCGACGTCGTCCTCTCCTACGAGCACGCTCGCCCACACGTGGAACCCGATTCAGGCCGGTTGCGCGACATCATGAACATGCCCCGCGCCGATTTGGAGTCACTGGATCCCTCTGCAGAGCACGGGATGTTCCGAGACGTGTGCCGCGAACTCAGCAGCCTTTTGTCCAGACCTACTCAAGGCCGCAACCTGAACGACTGCCTCAATTCATGTAGTCAAGACGACGCTCGTGCCATCCTTCTCGCTTGGCACGGCATGCGATGCCGAAATGCGGCCCTCGTGGAGTTCAGCCCCACCCTCTCGGGATGCGTCCGGAGCAACACCGCACCTCTGCACCTCGGTGCCGGGGAGGCTGCGAAGGGAGCGAGGCTTACGATCTGGCAGCCTCGTTATCCGTATTGGCGGACGCTCGTCGTCACATTGGCCTCTACCCGTCCTCGGCTGACGACGCAGGCACCGCAGCACGGTGCACTCGCCACTTCCTACAACGAGTTCTCAATTCCAGTGCCGCCGAGCTTGCCCCGACACAGGCGGCTGCGATCGCTCTCGGCGTCGCGTCAAGCGGACATTCTCACACATACGTCAATGCCTACGTGTGGGACGCCGTCCACCTCAGACGTCTATTGCCCACCGGGGTCTCCCTGCTGTCATCTTCTTCCTCCGACAACCCTCCGCCCGCCCCCGATCCGCCCGACAGCGAGGAGTCGCCCTTGGGCCAACGCGATGCCGACGCATGCACTGGCGACCCTGACGACGTCGACGCGGCAGACGAATGCGACCATCCACGCCGAGGCACCTGCAGCATCTGCACCACTTGAGACGGAGCGCCGATTGCATTATCGCAGGCTGACCACTACGCGCACCGGTCCCAACAACTCGCCGACCTCACTTTCGACGAGTTCGTCATGGGGATGCGCATCCAGAAAGTCTCCGCGGAACAGAGGGCAAAGATAGCCGCCGAATCGGGCAAGAGGGGCCGCCCTACGAACCCGAGCTTCGAACTCGAACCGCCGCGCCCTTTGGCGGGCCAGTACGTCATCAGGGAAACATCCAAATTCGACGTGCCGCTGTTGTCGGAGCTCCTCCGCCCCGTCTGCCCCCCGATTCGGCTCCGCGCAACAAGGCGCGCCAGCGTATGGAGGTGGCCCACGCCGAGTACTTCACCGCGCTCTTCGTACCTTGGTCCGCGGCCCAACTGGAGACCGCGACCCCGACCACTTGGAGCGCTTATCAGCGCCGCCTGGAGGACGCGGCTCACGGCTCCGCGCCTCCTGCATCCGACTCCGTGCGGCACGGGAAGAGTCAGAGAATCGCGGAGGGCCGCTTGTTCCGCATCCACCATGTGGCGACAGCCCTCACGTCGAATACCCGGAAGACAGATATTATGAGCAAATGGCGCATGCGAGATCGCACTCTGTGGTCCGAAACGACGTCCTGTCCAGACGTAGCCCTTCCCCCTGGCCGCAGCAAGGATCAAGAGACCAACGCCGCCGCAGACATCCGCAACTTACGCGACGCTGCCAGCGCCGACGTCAACTCCAGAGCCATGAAACGAGCTGCTGCAATGGAATCCTGGGTGGGCGACATTACCGACAGACTACCACCACTACCCGCTGTGCCATCCACGCCGGACCCTCGGTCACACTGGCCACGGGGGGCTCCGACCAAGGACGGTCATCCCGTCCACCATTTCCCAAGTGGCTCCACCGACGTCGCCTCCTTCCTGGCAGACCTCAAGCAGCCTCGACGCAGGCCTTCCGACGACGCCAACACACCGAGCCACGTGGACCATCCCGTCGCAGACGCCTCCCCGGAGGACGGCGACCCACCAGAGTTCGACCCTATCGACGACGAGACCTTCATGCGTCTCGCACGCAACTGGGAATCAGACGTCCGTAACACGCCACCCGGAGGCTGTTCCCCCCCCGCCTCCTCTCAACCCCCAACAGCGTGCTTTCGCAAGACAGCATTTGGCACTGCAGCGCCACCTCGCTGCCGGCCGCCAACGAGGTGACGACCCCCACGACGCACTCGCCACTCTCCGACAGCAAGGGCTCCGGGAAGTGCATCTGCTCCAGGGGGCTGGGGGCGTGGGAAAGAGCGTGCTCTTGAAGGCGATGCACGCCGTCTTACGACGCCTGCACTTGGGACACATGGCCATCACAGCCTGGGCGGGAGTCGCACCTGCGCCTTTTGGGGCGCCGACGCTGTGTTCTTTACTGAAAATTGACTTCACTTGCCTGGCTGAAGACCGCCCCGTGGACGCTGACACGTTGCAGCTCCTCCGCAAGGACTTCGCCGACGCCATGTGCGACCCGGCCGACCTGCTCGTCTTCGTCGTCGACGAGGCCAGTCTTCTCGTCCCGGCAGCCTTACACCACATCGACCTTCAACTACAACGATTACGCGGTGTCCACGGCGTCCCTTTCGGAGGCGTCGCCCTCATCCTGGCAGGGGACTTTTGGCAGAAACCGCCTCCGAGCTCCACGACGCTCGCAGAAACTCCTCGCCAGCGCTGACGTGCCTGGCCTATCGAGGCCAGTCCGGCACTCCCCCATGAGCACATCAGATAAGGGCCTCGAGATATTCCGACGGGCTCGCCGCACTGTTCTGACGCAGCAGATGCGAGCTGCCGACGACCCTGGTTTCCAGACGGATCTGCTGCAGGTCCGGGACACGACCCCTGGCGCCCCGGTCCCAGCGAGGTTGACAGACTCGCTCCGCGAGGTTTCCACCCACGACATCCAGACACATATTGCGTGGTCTTTCGCTCCCATCTGCGTCCTGTCCAACTTCGAGCGGTACCTTCTCAACAGGATCCAGGCCGAGCGCTTTGCCGGGACGCACTCTCTACCCTTAATCCGATGGCGATACCCCTTGCACGGACGCCACTGCTCTATGCTACCAGCTGATGTCCAAGACGGCCTTTACGAGAACGAGCCAGGCATGTGGGGATGCTTCGTGCGCGGGGCCCCGGCCATGCTGCTCGCCAACATCCAGCCCGCCAAGTTCTGCGTCAACGGGGCCATGGGTTTCCTGCACTCCCTCAGCTTCGACGGCGATGCACCGGGAGTGTTCTTGGACGCTGTTGCATCTGGCGGCTTCCGGGAGATTATCCTCGAGGAGCCCCCTGCCTCTATCAACGTCCAGATTTCCTTGCCCGCTGGCGAAGACGGCGCTGGGATCGAGACCCTCGTTCCTGGGTCCGTGGTCGTTCCCATCGCATGCACCTCCCACGTCGAGGACTACGACACCACCTCGTTGTTCAGCATCCTCAAGCGCGCGCCCAAGCGCATCCGCATACGGTGTCACGCGGTTACGCTGGCGTTCGCTTGCACGGATTATAAGCTACAGGGCAAGACGTGCGACGAGTTGGTGCTCAGCGTGGCCAGGCGACCTTGGCCGCCGCATTTGGACAGAAAAGGCTTCTACGTCGCTGTCAGCAGGGTACGCGCCAAGGCTCGCCTGCGGGTGCTTCACCGACCGTCTTCGGAAGCCGGGGGACTGGACCATTTGCGCAACTTGCCGCCTGCCCGAGAACTTCACGCTTGGAACGCTGGGTACGATGCAGATGGAGATTGGCAACCCCCCCTCGCCCATGCGGCGGCGTCTGGCGCACCATCTACCCGACAGCGTCCACCGCGCACCCCTGCGCGGGCACCGCGTCCACGACCAATGGCGGGAGGGGCATAATTGGTACGAGTACCCGCGCGCCGGTGAAGAGCCCTCCACGCGAGGGCCGCCACCTTGACGCACGCCAGCAGTGTCGCCGCATTGTCCTTGCATTACTTGCGAGCGACAACTGTGCTGCCAATTCGACGCCTTCTACCTTAGCAGATCAGAGTCAGCGCGCTTCCCCAGCATTGCGCGAAAAACAGTGCCCAACATTTCGTCCCTCGCCATCTTGATCATAAGGAATGCATTGCTCACCCATGCCAAATATTGCCCCGGATTTTTGTTCGATCTCTTAGCGTGGCAGCATCCCCGCAAGCTCCCTGGCCCCAAGGATACCCGGGCGCACCAGACGCCATAGTGAGTCAGAGGCCGCCGCCTGCCTACCAGACTTTCGCTTAGAAATTTGATTTTTCGGACCCGAAGTCAGCTTCTGTGCTCGCCCCGCCCCATCGCTGTCCCACCACATTTCAATATTGCCGCCCTTTCTTTGAGGGCCTCGCGCGCAGTGCACCAGCCCGTGCTTCGCGGCCCCCCTTGCCTCAGCATCAGACTTCTTACGAGAGCTTTGATTGCCCCTCAACCGTCGATCTCGCCCAGCACTCGCTCTCAGATTGAGCCTGCCATGGCGGACAAGCTCGAGACTGTGAACGAGCGCAACTGCGGTACCAAGACCATGCGCGTGCGAGTGCTGGACCCGATGGCGCGCAAGACCAAGAAGGACTGCGAGGTCTTCACCTGCAAGCTGATCAGCGAGAGTGGCCTCTATTGCACAGCCGAACAGATGATCTTCGGGGACTCGCCGGCGGCGCGCACGAGAGTCAGCAAAGCATTGGCGACCAAGTGGACCGCGAAATCCGCGTGGTCTCTCTCCAAGCTGAAGCTTGTGCGCAAGAAAGAGGCCTTCCACGGGGGCCCGCGCTCATGCGTACTTCAGCTGAACAACAAGGCCATGACCACGAAAGCATTGGACGCGCCGGAGGCCAACAAGCTGCCGGACGAGCTGGAGCCCCCCGTGGGAGTCCAGGATGTCCTCGACCTCTCGCAGGACCAGGCGATCGACCTCCACGGGCTCGTCTCGGATGTTTCTCCCGAAGCCCAATTCAAAGGCAAGAACTTGGTGGAGGCCACGGTCTGCAACGAGGCCGGAAGCAGCATCACCTTAAAATTTTGGGAGGGGGGCGCCCCCCGCGCAGAGGAGCTGCAGAAGAAAGAGCCCGTCTACATCTACGGAGCGTACTTGGTCCACCCCGACGGTGGCGGCGTGTGCCTGTCAGTCCGGGAGTCCACGTCCTTCGCCGCGCCTACAGGCACGCGCCCCGAGATAGCGGCCATGCTCGCCGGCGGCGTTCGCGACCTCGCCGGCGACCAGATCCAAGGCCTGACCGTCTATGAGGCCAAGGACTACAAGGCGCGGCCTGCCGTCCCCCCTTTATCCTCTGCCTGGCCCCTGCACAATGGCTCTGTCCCGCGGCCCCCCCGCGCAGCACCCGGGCAACCCCCGTCCCGCAACTCGAAACCCCATTGGTGCCCCCCTTCCAGAGTTTGATCCTGAAACCAACAATTTCTCAACGAAAATCTGGCCCCAGCCGGCCGCCCGCCGTTCTCCGCCCCAAAGTTTCGCTGAGGCATGGCGCTCTCGCCGAGCGCACCCCCCCCCCCGATGCGCCCCCCAAGGTCGGGCCCGCCACCAGCTCCAACGCGGCCGTCCTGGACGCGCTCCTCCAGAGCAAGACGACGCCCCCGGACACCCTGTTCGAGATCCCGGCAGCGTCATTCTCCCTCAGCGACACGGAGACGCTCTTGACAAAAGATGGGACCCGCGCCTGGGCATCCGCGCGCATGGTCGACCACGCTGGGTCCGTGGAGGCCAAGGTGACGGAGAAGGTCGCCCTCGCGCTGACTGGCTGCACGGACAAGGCGGAATTCCAGGCCGACGTTGAACAGGGGTCCGCGACGTGGACCCGGGCGCGCGTTCGGGCCACGCTGCGCGCCCCGAAGAGCGTTGATGGCGACAAGACGAGCACGGACCCCCGCCTGATCATCGTGTGCGCGGACCCCCGGAACTTCGACGCCGTCGCCCCGCTGCCCGCCCCGCACAGCGACAGCCGCGTCGTTCCCGCGCACGCCCGCAGCATTTCCTTGAGCACCACCGGGAAGCTGACCATCACCATCGGCTCCGCGCGCTTCCTCGCGAGCGGCGCGCTCCTCCTGGTAGAGGCCACGAAAGACCCCGAGACCGTGCCGCGCGAGGGCGGCTTCGCGATCACCAACTACATCGTGGACGCGGCGGAGAGCGACTCCGACCAGAAAGCCGTCTTCCACGCCGTGACTGCCTGCGCGACGAAACGCTTGGGCCGCTGCGCGCTCGCGAAGAAAGACCAGGCGCTCATCGTGGTCACCCACTTCGACGCCGCGACGTCCGAGTTTACCGTGAGCGACATGTGGAAGTTGCCTCCCAGCATCACGCCCGACGCGTTCAGGACCGAAATTGCTGCTGCAGGTGAGACTCTGACCAGTCGCCGCACGCGCGCCAAGCGCAAGGCCGACCCCAAGGCCGAGGACAACTTCGACGAGTTCCTCGGGCCCGCGGTCAAGCGCATCCACGAGGCGTTCGGCGACCCGGCCGCGCCCGCGGAGTGAGACGACCTCCAGCGCGGCTTTCCTGCGCGCGCGCGTGGCGTCGAGGCCCCCGACCCCTCGGATTCGATGCCGAGCTTCCATGCTGCCCCATGGGGCCCCGTCATCTGTCTACCGCCGGACCAGTGGCCCCCGTCCTGCGCCCGCCCCGCGGCGCAATGTTTTGATCCGAAAACTTGAATTTCCCCCCCAAAATCCGGTCCCAGCTCGCTGGCCGTCTGAGCCCGCCTGCTACCCCACCCCACACCACAGATTTCCATTGGGAGACGGCCATCTCATCAAATACATCTGGCACCCGCAACTGCCCCCCCCCTCGCCACCCAGATCCTGGTCTCCTTCCTCCTTGCCAGGCCGACCCACGCATTGAAACCTCCATGTCGTCCGTGGTCCCCCACGTCTCAAAGCATCTCCCAGCGCCGTTTGCCCCGGCATCGAAGCGCGGCGTCCGCGCCGCATCTTCCCAAGCATGGCCGCGAGGATTGCTTGAGATATAAAACGCATCTTTCAGCGCGTTCCCGCTCGGACGCCGCGGCGTCGAGCTGGTGGGATTCGCGGCGCCCTGCCCGCCAGGCCGCTGTTCGGGCAAAACTCAAGCCCCACTTTCCTTTTCTCCCTGCTCTGCCTCCTCCCTCGTCCTCCTCCCTCCTCCTCCTCCTCCCTCCTGATCCCCGCCCGCTCCCCCTCCCCTTCCCCTCCCCCCCCCCTTTCCCAGCCCCGGACAAAAGGGGAAAGGGGACAATCCTGGAAGCACGCTGGGCCAACAGAGCCCGGGCAGGGACAGCCCGCGGCGAGACCAAGTGCCAAAAACCACCCCCACTGCGCAGTAAATTACTAGCGAGGCCCCCGCCTCCTCGCAGCAGCAGCAGGAGAAGGAAGGAGAGGCCATCTTGGAGGCCTCGTGGGAGCCGTTTGGGCCCACCTAAGGCCGTCTTGGGTGCATCTTGGGCCGTCTTGGAGGCATTTTGGTACCATGTTGGCCGTCTTGGAGGCCATCTTGGCTGTGCTGGCTGCTCTTATCTGGCTGGTCTGGTTGGTCTGGCCGGCACGTCTGGTCCCAGCTGTTGTGGCTGGACTGGTCAGTCTGGCTGGTGTTGCTGGTCTGGCTGGTCTGGCTGGCACATCTGATTCTGGCTGTTTTGGCTGCGCTGCTCAGTCTGGCTGGTTTTGTTGGTCTGGCTGGTCTGGTTGGTCTGGCTGGTCTGGCTGGTCTGGTACCACTGCTATCCGAAAAGGAATGGGCGCCGCTATCCGAAAAGGAATGGGCGCCTGAATCTGTGACGGCAACGCCCTTGTCCGCAGGCGTCCAGCCTCGTTTCGCTTGGAAAACATAGGAGGAATCGACAAAAAAAAAAAAAAAAAAAAAACACTAAACCGGTGTTTTTTTTCAAGCACGGTTTTGCGCGACAACGCTGCGTTTTACCACTGTCCGCGCGTTGCCGCGGCCGCGGGCGGGGGCATTGCCGTCGCAGAGTGTTGGCCGCCGTCCAGACGGCCAGCCCGACGTCATGTCTCGCCGTGTCTCCCTGTTTCTTATTTTTCCATTCAGACCCCACTCCCTTTCTCTCCCCTCTCCCCATTCCCTTCTATATGCGTGCATTTTTTCGTTGACGTCTCCCGTTCGGCAGACAAGGTTATCTTCAACAACGCTCGGCTACAGGATGTCGGAGGCTGTCTAGAGCCATGCTCGGCTATCTTGGGCCGTCTTGAGACTGTCTTGAGACATCTTCGAGGTCCGCCTCTCTCTGCCCGTAGTTCCCGTATCGTTTTCCCTGCTATCCGAAGAGGAATGGGCGCCGGAATCTGCGACGGCAACGCCCTTGTCCGCAGGCGTCCAGCCTCGTTTCACTTGGAAAAACATGGAGGAATCGACAAAACCCCGCCGGAAAAAAAAACAGCTAAACCGGTGTTTTTTTTCAAGCACGGTTTTGCGCGACAGCGCTGCGTTTTACCACTGCCCGCGCGTTGCCGCGGCCGCGGGCGGGGGCATTGCCGTCGCACAGTGTTGGCCGCCGTCCAGACGGCCAGCCCGACGTCATGTCTCGCCGTGTCTCCCTGTTTCTACGCTTCCCCACTCAGACTCCACTCCCTTCTCCTCTCCCCATTCCCTTCTTCATGCGTGCATTTTTCCCTCGACGTTTCCCATTCGGCAGACAAGCGTGTGGGCGTTATGCCGTATGTCATACTTGGGTCAAGTTTTGTTGGTCGATCAGCTCGCGGGAATCGCGATGCTGGAAGACGCTGAGCGACAATCGATACATCGGGCAAGCACGGAAGGCATTGGCGGCGTGAAATGCGACGCGCGCGTCCTGAAGATGCGGCATCTGCTCGTGGCTTTTCGGAATGTTCTTACTTTCATGCACGTTGCCGGCGTGGCTAAATTTCCCGTGTGTTTCCTGCGCGAGTGTGGATGCCATGCGAAAAAGCACGACAAGGCAATGCTTAACAAAGCCGTAGCTTCTTTCAAAAAATCTGGTGAGACACGTAATCATGAATGGGTTGATGTTGAAGGGCTGGCAAAACATTTTCGTTTGGCAGAGCTTGCGGATCAGATCGCTCCAGGAGTCAATCACGACCCACTTGTGCGCAAATTGAACAACTTTAAGTCTTCTTGTGATATCACCTCAGCGACCAAAACGAAGATGTTGCTTGCCCACCCGAGTGTGCCTCTTACCGCGGTTGCCCATTTTTGTATATTTTGTTGTTTGTATTGCAATGAAAGCCACTACGTGATGTCGTTCTACGTCGTTTCAGAGCTGGTGTATCGGAAAGCGATTGACGCGCCGGGAGCGATTGAAAACCGACGGGTCTTACCCCACACTGCCAGACATCAGTGCATATGACGTTCAGAAATGGCACGAGGCTGCAAACATATGCGTTGATCTATGCGGCCGACAGCCGAGGATGGGCTACCACGCCCCGGCGCTGTCGGGCTACGACGACGCAGCCCTCCTGCCAGAGGGCGCGGGCACCCGTCCTCACCGCGTCGCCGTCCGCATGAGGGCGATTGCGGTGAGCCTGCAGGAGCACCGGCGCATATTGGACAATTCTGCCCTGCTCGCGATTGAGTGTGCCAAGTCGCTCTTGCAGACGGATTGCGATCGGGTCCCTTACCAAGGCCAGGTCATGCTCAAGCGGTACCTGCGCGCCCGCCACGGGGACCGGTACGAGGGGCACCGCGCTTCGACCGTGCCGTACATGGAGCTGCCGGGGGACGGCGCGTCATTGTTTCTCCAGAAGCTAGCGCCGGAAGCCCGCGACCTCATCCTATCATGCTCTTCGGGCAGCGCCGTGGACGAGTCGGCGGGCAGCACGGTGGTGAAGACGACCAAGCCCATCAATTCCCTGAACCACAAGCTGCTGTGGCTCCTGCAGCGCCGTCAGAGTTCCATGCCGCTCCACTCCCGCGTGCTGTCTCTGACTGGCCTCTCGGAGCTGGAGTTCGACGACGCGGAGTACGGCGTCTGCGAGGCCCGGACTTATGTCTGGGGGCGGACGTGCCGAAAGCGCTATCCGCCAGGTTTTTCTGCGGACGTGGCGGCGGCTCACAAGCAGTGGTACCACGCCGTGGCGCTGCCCGCGGCGTGGGCTCAGGAACAGGGCCCTGCCGACGACGCTCCTGGTCCCAAGAAGCGCAGGTTGAGCTGAGAAAAACGTCGCCGGCTTGTCCGGTTGTCGCGTGAGCCGTCTTGAACGCCATCTTAGCCATCGTGGAGGCATCTTGAGGGCCATCTTGGGCCATCTTGGCCGTTTTGGAGGCTTCTTGGGCCGTCTTGGGGCCCTCTTGGGGCCGTCTTGGAGGCTTCTTGGGCCGTCATGGGGCCATCTTAGAGGCCTCTTGACGATCTTGGGGCGACCTTGGGGACCTCTTGGGCCGTCTTGGACCGTCGGAAAGCCGAAAAGGCGCGAATGCACGAATCCTTCAAAAACTTGCAGAAAAAACATAAATATTGCCCTTTCGGGCCTTCATGGAGGACCTCTTGGAGGCCTGTTGGGCCATCTTGGACGCCTCGTGGGAGCCGCTTGGGCCCATCCAGGGCCGTCTTGTGTGCATTTTGGGCCGTCTTGGAGGCATTTTGGTGCCATGTTGGCCGTCTTGGAAGCCATCTTGGAGGTACTTGGAGGCCATCTTGGCCGTTTTGGAGGCAATCTTAGCCATCTTGGAGGCCTCTTGGCCCGTGTTGAGGCCCTCTTGGGACCGTCTTGGAGGCCTCTTGGGCCGTCATGGGGCCATCTTGGGGGCCTCTTGGGCAATTTTGGGGCGATCTTGGGGGCCTCTTGGGCCGTCTTGGACCGTCGGAAAGCCGAAAAGGCGCAAATGACCAAATCCTTCCCAAACCCAAAGAAAATCAATGATTTTGGCCTCTTCGGGCCCTCCTAGACGACCTCTTGAAGGCCTCTTGGGCTGTCTTGGAGGCCTCTTTGGAGCCTCTTGGACCGTCTTGGGCCTCTGGGACCCTTCCGAGGCGACCCCGGCGGACAGGCCAGGCGGCCGGGAAGCTCGCCGCCGCCCGCCGCTCGGTGAGCGAGCCTCGGGCCCGAGGCGAGGATGAGTTGCCTGGGCCAGCCTCGGGTCGGAGGCGAGGACGGCGAGGCGGAGGAGGAAGCGGAGGGGGAGGGGGAGGAGGCGGAGGTGGAGGGGGAGGAGGAGGACGAGAAGGAGGAGGACGAGGACGCAGCGTGCCCGGCCGCATGCCGACGGCGAGGGCGACTCCGCCGCCACGCGCCGCACCGCCCCAGAAGGTGGAGAGAGGGGGAGGACAAGGAGGAGGTCGAGAACCAGGAGGAGGAAGAGAGGCGGGACAGGAGAAAGTGGAGGTGAGGAGGGGGAGAAGGAGGACGAGACAGAGGACAAGCGACCTTCCTCCATACCCAAACTGACATGCTTCTAGCCGCCCCTTCCCGTCTTCGAATCTGTCCCTTGCCAACGTGTCGCAGCAATTGCGGCGCGCTTCCCGGCGCCTGCCAAGGACTGCCTCCCTCGCGATCCCTGGTTTTCTCCATCTCCCATGGACCCACATCGTCATTGTATGATCCTTGGCACGCGTGCCCCTTGTTGGATGTTCGTTTGGATATCGTGGGAGGCCTCCCTGGGGGCTCTTGGAGGCAGTTTTGGGGCCTTGTGGGGGCCGTGTTAGGGCCTCTTGGGGGCTGTTTGGTCTCGTGGGGTCTCTTTGGCGCCTTTTGACGGCCTCGTGGGTGCCTCTTGGGGCCTCCTGTGGGCCTCTTGGGGCGGAAGGCTTGGATTTTCGGTTCGTGCTCCCTCTCTTGGGCCCCCTTTTTGGAACGATCGTTCGGCGACTCAGGGCCCTCTTGGACTGTCTTGTGCGGCCCCTCGGGGCCCTTTGGCCCGTCATGGGGCCCTCTTGGACCCCAACCACTAACGCGACAAAATGCGGGGGAGCCCAGTCGATTTCAGAATTTGGGGTCCAGTCCAAATCAAGACTCCTCGGGACTGAGGGC